AATGGATTATTTTAGTCATTTAATTTCAAAAGCCGAATCTGATAACCATATTCAAGGTATAAAGATCTCTCCCAGAGCCCCCATGATTTCCAATCTTCTTTTTGCAGATAACATTCTACTTTTCTTGAGAAGTCACAGAGAAGAGCTTGATTCCATTAAAGGTCTGCTTCATCATTTCCAAAATATCTCTAGCCAATTAGTTAATCTGGATAAATTAGGAGTTTACTTTAGTACGAATACCCACCCTAGACATCAATGCATGCTAAGAAGACAACTCCAAATGAAGTCCTTAATTGAAAACTCTAAATATTTGGGGTTACCTTTAATCTGGCGTAAAAACAAGCACTCCCAATTTACTTTCCTCTTAGACAACCTCAAAAATAAGCTCAATAAATGGAAAGCTTCCACCATCAACCCAGTGGGCAAAAGGGTTCTAATTCAATCTGTTTTGCAATCCATTCCCAACCATGCTATGTCAGTTGCCCAATTACCCAAGAAAACCATCTCGGAGATAGATCAAATTATGAGAAATTTTTTGTGGAACAAATCCAACAAAAATCTCCATCCTTATCACTGGGCTTCTTGGAATAAGCTAACTATTCCTAGAACCGATGGTGGTTTAAGTTTTAGACAGACTAATCTTTTCAATGTAGTCTTTCTCAAAAAATTAGCTTAGAGATTTCTGAATAATCCTGATAAGTGGTGGGCCCAATTATGGAAATCTAAGTTCCTTCCGAGAAACATTAATTTTCCTTACAAAATTCCTTATTCAGAGGTTGGTTTCCTAATCCACATTTTATGAATTGCTCTTTTACTCGAACCATTCTTTTCACTGCCCCTTGGAATATTCAATTAACAAACTATGCATCTTGGATAGATTGTATTCTCAATATTAAACAAAAATGTAATGGCAAAGAAATGTTGCAAGTAGTATTATCCTAGTATGCTATTGCTTTATTCTACATTTGGCAAGCTCGAAATGATAAACTGTTTAACGATCTAATGTTTCTAATCTTTTGGTTATTGAAAAAATTAATTCTAATTTTCGAGCAATTACAAATCCTCTCGCAGAATCAAGACCAAACATTCATCTTTCTAATCAAATTTCTATACATCTTAACTCCAATACTGATTGCCTTATCTTTACTGATGTAAGTAAAATTTCTAATTTCTTGTATTCCTATGGGATTATCATTCTGGATACTTATCTCCATTGTATTCAAATTTCAGGAGGAAAGAAAGAGTTACAATCTATAGCAAAAGCAAAACTTTTTGCAATACACCAAGGAAGTGTTATTGTCCATCAACTTGGGAAATCTGCTCCACTCTTTTGCTCAGATTCCAAAGTAGTTATTCAAGCTTTACAGAGCCAGTTCTCGCTTCCTTGGTCTTCTTCCTTTTTGTTACTTCAAACTTAGAACTTGTTAAATCAATTTTCTTTTTATCAATAGGAGGTATAATGTTCCTGCACATGAAATAGCTTGTCTTTTTAAAAGTACCCTACAGGAACATTCGGTCTTATATAGTTATCCTCCTAATGTACACAGTGTTCAGGACTTTGTTGTATACTCTTTTTGTTAATATAAATTTTATTTACCCATTAAAAAAATTATTTTTTGGATTCCCTTTTCTTTTCTTCTTTTTTTTTTTATTTTTTTGGGTACAAGGGAAACTTTGCTTATTGTTCTTGTTTCAATGCCTTTCCAGTTGAATTCAGCGTGTTGTTACATGGTATAAAGTATCGATATACCCTGATATGCCAGTAGTTAGGGGTCTATCAATTAGGGGTGTAAACAAAATGAATTCGAATTGAATCAGGCAATATCTGAATTCGAATTCGAATACAATTAATAAATTTGATTCGATATCCGACAGATATTAAAAATTAATATTCGAATTCGAATCAGATTAAGTATTCGAATATTCAATTTGATTTGAATATGACCAATTAATTATTTTAGGTAATTAATAAATATATAAAATAAATATTTTATTTATATAAAGTATATAAATATATAAATATATAAATATATAAATATATAAATTATTTATATAATTTAATTTTTATATATAAATCATATAAAACATTTAAATATTTTATATATTATATAAAAGAATTAAATAATCGGTTGAAATTGGATATTTATTTAATTGAATTAGGTCATATCCGAATTCGAATCCGATTAACTATTCGGTATATATAGGATATTCGAATTCGACCAATTAGATGTTTGAATTATCTGAATTCGATTCGATTATGTCGAATCTCAAATCCGAAATCGGATTTTCAAATATCGTTGACACCCCTAATATCAATACTTTACCACATACTTTTTATTTTTTGGGTCATTTATTAGAATACCCTTTATAGTTTAACAGATTTACTTAAACCTATCATATTCTTAATTTGCCTTTCATTAAGAATCATTTGTTTTGCCATTTGAAAATGGTAACGTGATCACCTAAACTAAGTGGAAAATATTCCAGGGAATGAATCCATGATTGTTTATTCCAAAAGTACCATTGCCATTTTTTTAATTTGTATTGAAAACAAATTGACCAAATAGAGAAAAAGAGTGGTTGCCTGTATCTAATTAGGGGCAAAAATGGTATTTTATTTTTAATTTCTTTTGATTAAATTTATTTGAATGGGTGATAGAGTTAAAACTGTCATTTTTCACTTTCATCTAATAAAAATCCAATTAAATAAATTAATTGCAAAGTACAGGTAGTAATGTTTTAATAAAACTCAAACTATAGGATATGTTTTAATAAATTCATGCAACTATAAGGCATGTTTTAATAAATGACTTATTTTTTAAGTCTTTTATTTTTAATTTCTGTTTTGTACATGTTTTTATATTATTTAATCAATAAAAACATCTATTGTCTCAAAACACCATTAAATAGGTATATCGGAAGCCGAAAGATAAATATGAGGCGTATCCTATTAAGTTATTAACATTGTTAATCTGTTTTATTTGCGTGGATCGAAATATCGAATCAGGAAGACTAGTCATTTGAGTAGCAAATCCGAATTCTGCCTTGGCATGGACATAAATCCATCGTCAACTTTATCCTGCCAGCATTTTGAATATCTGAATCAAACTTTATCCTCTCTCTCCAATCTTGTGGCTCAGCAATTCAGCGGTACTTTTTTGAAGGTTAAATAAAGCCTATTATCCCTATATGTTTGGCGAGAGGAATCCTACTTTTTTTCTACCCAGAGAGGAATTTTGTGATAATAAATCTCCAACCATCTACATCGATCGGGTACATTATTGAGACCGATCTGTCAGTCAACAGGTTTAAATGATTCGATAAACTTATAGACGACTACATCCTACATGATTTTGATCCAAAAGGGCCCCATCCATTCCTCACCCTTCCCTCTGATTTATTCTTTTGATGCATGTTTCATCTTGTTCAGAAAATTCCACAACGTAGGATGCAGTGATGATGTGGCTAGAGATTACTTCCTTTGATGTATGGTTCAGATTAGTCATAATATTCACCCACATGACAGCGTAGGTGAGGTTAGGGATGACAATTTCATAATTTCATTTCTAAAATAATTTCTAATTATCATAACCCAGTTAATAAAATATCTTTAAATTCTCATAATCTTATTTTTTAAATATCTTAAAATTAAAAATATTTTTAGATGACTGCTTCAATGTGAAGAAATTTCAGGAATTTCCCATCTCTAACGAGCTGTGATTGCCCTACACTAAATCGCCCTTCAATTAGAGATGGGGTAGAATATCTTGGTCTCGGGGCAGACGGGGAGGGGAGATTCGGCGTGGGAAGGGGTGCCCCGCCTCAAACCCGCCCCATTGCTATCCCTAGTGAGATCTTTAATAGAGCCTTGGCTAATGGAAAGTTGAAAATCCATCTACCCGCATGGACCGCATCGGCCATAGAGAAGGCTGATGGCTCCGTGACACTTTTATTTGGGGAAATGATCTGCTACCAATGCTTCCCACAATGCTCCGACAGGCCACTACAGCCGCACATGGTGATTGGTGAATATCTCCTTTACCGTACATGGGAGAGATGTTCCTGCTGTGCAACTCCCATGACCAATTGGGAGCATATTGGTGAAGGGCTGATTTGAACTCGTTGGTGAGATGTGCGGTATCAGATCACAGTAAAAGGGGTTGCAAGGCATTTCATTGGCAGGAGATCCCAACTCCTATTTCCCCTTACTGCTTGGGTTTGTATGCATCTTTACAGAAACGGGAGGTGGTATTACCAACCAATCATGATCCGTCACAAGATTGTCTCTCATAACGTCTCATAGCACATCCCCGCTGTGTATTGGAAATATCTCCCGCTGATAATATCTGAAATAATAATATTCTCAATGCACGGTGGGGATGTGCTATGGGACGCTACGGACCGGGTGGGAGGTGGTGCTGTGGGGGCTTGTGGAACGCTGATCTGATCTCCCGGATTACATGCATTTGACTCAGCTGGTCTACAGCTACAGGAACGGGAGAATGTAGGACCAATCATCACCTGCCACATCAGCCTCAAATTGAGCCCCACATTTGCAGAGATGACCACATAATTTCTTCACATACGCCTCAATCAAGAGCCGTAGGCCGTCGGAGTTGATTGATAGATGACCATTAAATGATTATGAATTTATGATGATATAATTTCTTCACATAAGATCTCAATCAGACGGTTATATTGTTTAGAAATGGTTCATAATCCAAGGATCAGAACCGAAGATGTAGGAAAAGAATGCTGGAAGAATATACAGGATAGTCGAGATTGACTGGTTCAAAAGGATTTTAATCTGGATGATGATGTGTGACAAGCAAATCAAATCATTCAATTTATCTTCCAAACAAACGCGTGGAAGTTTCTACGCTGTACTGAGGACTGAGGAGGACCCCACCACCAAATTTTCTCGCTTCACTCGGAATCTCCTCGTTTTCGTCCTCTGTATATATATTTGACATGAAAACCAGAAACCAAACCAACGAGACAATTACAGAGAGAGGAGGGAAAGGACGAAACGAGAGCGAGTGGTGGCTTCGACTTACAATCGAATGGAACAAACAACGGAGAGATCCAGAGCATCAATGGAGGATCTCCCACCAGGTTTTCGTTTCTATCCAACGGAGGAAGAGCTGATTACGTTTTATCTGGGTAGCAAGCTCGAAGGGAAGAGAGACGATTTGGACTGCGTAATTCCAGTGCTGGACATTTACGAGCTTGATCCATGGCAGCTACCACGTTAGAATCCTTCACTCTCTTCTTTCCTTTTTAGCTTCTTTGCTTAGAAGGGTACCCGAGATAATACTTGATAAACTTTTCAAGTTCATCAGCTTCCAGCAATTTAGAGTTTAAAGCTGAATTCAAGTCCTTGAATCACAAATTTCAACATTTCTTTCTTCTTCTTCTTCTTCTTCTTCTTCTTCTTCTTCTTCTTCTTTTTCTTCTTCTTCTTCTTCTTCTTCTTTTTCTTCTTCTTCCATTAGAGCTTCAATTCAGTTCATTTCAGTTTTTGTTTCTGGGCTTTTCTTCCATGAATGTATAGAAAAAGTTGAGCTTCCTTTCCTTGCGTTGGGTTTCAGAGCTTTCAGGAGTGCTGTGCCACGGAGACCCAGAGCAGTGGTTCTTCTTCACTCCTAGACAAGAGCGAGAAGCTCGGGGAGGGAGACCTAACAGAACCACGAATTCTGGATACTGGAAGGCTACGGGCTCTCCTGGTTACGTGTATTCATCCAACAGTCGAATTGTTGGTCTGAAGAAAACCATGGTTTTCTACAAAGGCAAAGCACCCACTGGAAGAAAAACCAAGTGGAAGATGAATGAGTACAAAGCCATCCAAGCAGAAGCTACTTCATCCAACAGTGCAACTCCAGTGGTAATTAAGAATTCACTTCTCTCTCTCTCTCTCAATTGAAGGAAAGAAAGAGACAAATGAAGCTTGCTTATGCTAATCCAAGCTAGTATACTTGTTTCTTTTTTGCAGTTAAGGAAAGAATTCAGTCTGTGTCGAGTCTACGTGAAAACCGGATGCTTGAGAGCTTTTGATCGACGCCCTGACGGAGCCACAACAAGCGAGGCGCCCGAGCAGCAAGCTCATCATCATGTGGATAGGAGCACAGCATTTCATCAGAATCCTCCATCGGTGGATAAAACCAGCAGCTCGCCTGAGAGATCACCCTCCGGCGACGTCCATGCTTATCAGTCTGATCAGCTTGGGGACTTTATTAATTGGGAGATGGCTGACGATTTCCATCCTATATGCCCATGGGAATTGGATCAGTTGAACTGGGTCTAAAGGGGAAAAACCCAAAAATGAAAAGGAAAAAAAAAAAACAAACAAACGGGTCTCCTCTCATTGACAGAATCTAACCATATATTGACAAAAGAAAAAAAAAAACAAGGATCAGGGAAAGGATATAGGAATTTTACATTGCTCTTTACTACCAAAAGAATATACTGTTTTACTTTTAATATGATTTAATTTGGTTTATTTTTCTGGGGGGAGGGAGAATGGAATTGAATTGAATCGCAAGAAATGTAAATTCCATTCATGGTGGAAATTGATTTGTTTGTGAAATACAATACATGCAATTTGCATTAGGAAACCCTTGTTGATCCATACAATACAATTTAAGAAAGGATGTGGTCCCACTGTATACGAGAGAGTATTGGGTCAATTGGTTGTGGGAGGATGGTGGTGAAAATTTTGCATCAATTATTGACATGCAACATTAGGTAATAAGTCAACATAAGGCTGAATTTGGAAAGAGTACAAATGCAAATATATATTTATAAATACATATAAAATAGTACAAAATATAAGATTTTACAGTCTACGTATTTTGTATTTGTATTCCTTCCATTAAATTGGGGAATAAGAGTCATCAACATCAATTCTCGTTACTCAACATCAAGTCATCAACCCTCCTTAAAAGAGTAACATATGCTATTTTCTACTGGACAGGGCGCTTTTTCTTTTTTTCTTTTTATTTGAAAGATGAGTTTTGGGGGTGGGGATGAGTTTTGAGATTCTACAACCCGTTAGAGGTAGGAAATGGCATGTATAAACTTATAAACTTTATGTATTAGGTGTTGAATTTATGATAATCAAATAATTGGAAATTTTGTTGTTTGTTTGTATTATCTCATTTATTTATTGGTTATATATAATAAGAAACAATAAAAAATTAGATGCTAGTTCTAAACCCAACCCACCCTATCTTCAAATGCAGAGTAAGTAGAGTCGGGGAGGATTTTGCATTTTCATGTGTAGAGGGGGTTTGACCATTTGGGTTCTCAAAATCCTACCCATTATAGATTTTGGGGCAGGTATGGATTGAGAGGTTTAGGGAGAAGAATAGGGTCTAGTGTTTACAAAACCCTCCCCTAACCCGTCATATTGTCATCCCTACAAACAAATAGGTGGAGGAATGGATGATGACTGTGGTTTGGATTCAGGATTATAGGGGATTCTGATTCCAATTCTGACCGTCTACTACTAAACTGAGCAGACAGAACAAAATTTATATCCAGTTTACATTTATATACAACGTTTTAAAAAATGACCTGGAACCAGAACCATAATAGATGATCCGTTTTGACAAAAAAATATTTAAATTTTAAAAAATGGCCAAAAACTGTTGAACAAGTCAAACGGGTCAATGATTCAATCACCTGAATCAATAGGTCATTAACCAATTCAACGGAGATTCAAAAACCATATTTACACAGCGAAGCAAACAGAGCAAATGCTTCCCATGAGGGAGCAGTTTTTTTTGTCTAAGATGGATCAAATTGGAATCCGTTTGACACAAACACCCCACATCGTCTCCCATCCCATCAATGATGCACTTCCAGGTCCACCATTTTTAATGGTGGGAAACGATCTTGGACCGTTTCTAAGCGGAGCAGCCACAAGCCTACAACTACGTATACAAACCACGCTTAATAGTTACACTTACACGGTTTGCAGATGCAAACGCGGTATCTCTCACTCCGTAGCCTCCTGTGTAGCCTTCTATCATTGCATTTGTATACTTAATTTTCCAATAAAAAAAAACTAGCCCGCCAGCAACAAGCAACGCTTGGTGCTTCGGCATGACTTGGCGAATGGTGGATTCGAGTACGAGACTCGAGTTTGGTTTGAGAAAAATATTTTATGAAAATAAAAATTTATATATAAAAAATAGTTTTTATTTGGTATTTAAAAAATTAAAAATTATAATAATTAGTTATTATTATATATAAGATTTTTATCATATTATTATTATTATTATTATTATATGTAATTATTCAAATATAGCTCATGAATCTCATGAACCAAACTTTATTAGACTCAAATTCAACTAGATTAATAAATGAATCTGTAAATTGGGCTCGAGCTAGGGGGGTATGACCCCCTCCACCACCCCTAACTCTGCCCTTATTATTAATTTTTAAAGACAATATGCCCCAAAAGCTCATTTTATTTTTTTGGCCATCTAGACGGTTAAAAAATCTTCCTAAAAATATTTGCCATATGGCACCTTAACTATGGTTTAAACATCCGCCAAATTCTGGGAAACTTTGGTTTGTTTCAAGACCAATGACATGACATGACATGATATACAGGAAAATAAATAATATTAGATGCTGTCTTTTGTCAGAAATTTCTGGGTTTTGTCTAAATTAAACTAATGAATTTGGCTTTATATTTGGCCCAAGTTTGAAAATATCATATAAAAATAAAAACTTGGTGGTAAAGTTAATTAATCAAAAAAGAGAAATAAAATTTGGAAATTAACAAGGTTATTGATGTATGATTTTCCTTATTTTTCATTTTTTTAGAGGAAGGGAAGAGTGCGAAGAAAAAACAAAACAAGCATAACAGAACACCACCACCAACTCCGAGGAAGTCTCCATTAACCAGCTGCCAAAAATTAACCAAGATAAGGTAGAATAATATGCCTCAGCCTCATGTCTCCAGGACTCCAGATTTTTCTTGAAAGCTCAGTAAGCAAGTTTCATTTCATCAACCATATAATTTAGTTATATGTCTGTCCCTGAAAATGATATGATCAGAAAACAACAAGAGAGACAGACCACGTACGTAAGTTATGACATAGAGAGTCTACTAATGATTCTTCTCTATCTCATGAATAGATCTCAGAGAGAGAGAGAGGAAAGTCGAAATCCAAAATGGGAAAAACTTGGAGCACGAGCCAGGACTTTTGGGCAGGATGGAGATGGGACAGCTCAATAAAAGTCTTTCTAACCTGAATTGCTTTATCATTGATAGAATGATAGGTCCAATCAAATCCCAAACCTGAATTGCTTTATCATTTTRCTTTTTGCTTTTCTTTTCCCTTTATCACCAACCATTCTCACCATAGGCCTGTCAATGGATTGGGTTGACCAGACAGAGACGAATTGAATTGACCCAAAAAATTGGGGCTGAGTCTGCATTATGTGCATTTGTGAAGGGATGTCAAGAGGTGAGGTTAAATGGTAAAACCGGATTCACTATACTCTATAGGGTTGGGTTAGCTTCAGGTGTCGGGTTAATTGCATTGGGTTTTGATTCTTTAACCTTAATTGGGTTTTGGTTTGGCTGGCCCGCCCTTAAATTTTATGATTTTTTTATGTTTATTTTAATTTTTCTTTTTCATTATAGAGGAGGTGATACCTTGAAACCCATAAATCAAATTCCGGCCTCAATTAATTATTTTTATATTTTCATAATTTGTTATTAAAAATAGAATTGAAAGGCTGCAGGTCAAATATTGGGAAATAGTATAAGGTGAGGGTAGTAGAAGGGATGGCAAATTTTCCCATAAAACTGGGCCCTTCTCCGAATGGGGTGGGTTTTCTCAGAACAAGGTAAAAACAGGAAAAATGAATTTTGCCCCGAATTGGGGATGGGATAGGGACTAGCTTGGCTTGCATATAACTCCTTGAACCCATAGGATCCCATAATTCAAATTTTATAATACCTCAAAATTTCCATAATCTAATTCTTAAAATATTCCCAAATTTTCATAATCATATTTTTAAAACACTTCTAAATTGTATGTATTTTTAGGTGATTGCATCGGGCAGGGAAAATTCAGGAATTCCCTACCCCCGACGGTAGTAGGTGCCCCACCCCAAACCCTCCCTGGCACTGGGGACAGGGCAGGGGCGAGGTAGGATAGTTTGGCTATAGGGAGAGGTACCCCTTCCCCATTGCCATTCCTACGGGATAGGTTCCAAAATACATGTTAATAAGTTGGGGCAATTGGGTTCAACCATTATAGGGTCGGATTGAAGTGGAGGCAAACCCGTATTAAACCTAACACGTTGACATCCATAATTATGTTTACATCCTGGTTATAATTGGATCGTTTCTAGGTTAATTTAATTTTGTGCTCATAATTAATAATAGAAACATATAAGAGCATATAATTGTCTGCATAACACCCAAGTTTATCAGTTTTTTAGTATTTTCAATCAGATTTGGTTCAACGGTTTCCCAACTCGATTAGGTTGGATCAGTTTCGGTTTATCCATTTGTAAATCGACCAAAATTGAACGACTCAACCATAGATATATATTAATATTCTATATCTTAAATATAGTTTTTAATACAAAAAATAGTGAGAAAATTTCTATATTTCTTAGTCTAAAATATTTTATATCATAAATATAATTTTTAAATTTCTTTTTTAATAATGTCACAGTATTTTTTAAATTTAAACTTAATTTTTTAGGTTTATATATTTTCAACCGACTAACCAAACCAAAAATCCACCCAAATTGATACAACATGAGTTGGTTGGTTTTTACTAATGGTCAGTCAATTTCGGGCGACCATCTCCCCAACTTTACCAAGTCAATTTGGTTGGCCAAATAGCCTACAACCAAATCAAACCAACCAGTGAACACTCCCAATTTCAGCTAAATTAATAGTCTAATCTCTAATAAATAACAATAGTTTAATCTCCAATAATTGTTGAAAATTTATAGTGAAAATACACAATTATTGAAAATATATTGATAATGAAAATACAATAAATTAAAAAATTAAAAAATATACTAAAAATACAAAAAATATACTGAATTATTCAAWAAATAGTGTAACCTCAAATAATAGTTTAATCTCTAATAAATAAATTACAACAAAAATACAATTAGTACAATAAATTAAATTTAAAAAGTTAAATAATAGTAGTTTAATCTYTAATAATTATTGACAATTTTCTCTTAAATAAAAAATAAATAAATTTAAACATAATTATTGAAAATTTATTTTCTAGAATAAATATATAATAAATATACATTAAGATTTTAAAATTATTATTAATAAATATGATTTTTTTAAAGTTATTTTCTAAAATTATTAATTGATATAAGTGAAATTTGTTATTTGCAATATTATTTAGTTATTTCAATAATATGATTATTTAAATTTTAAAATATTAATTATTTATCGAATTTAATAATCCATAAAATATTCATTTATACTATTACAGAATTTACTTATTAATTTTGGAAAATATTAAATTATTATTAATGTTAATATTATTTTATAATTATTTTTCTATTTTTAACATATTTTTTTAATTTATTACATAATTTCGTTATTTTA